TGATAAACTAAATAAGATGCACAATTAATTAGTAATATAATATGCATACTTAGGATCCAGTGTTTGTTTCTCTATCCTGAAAATTACATTTTTGGGAGAACAATGCAAATGCTTTATTCGAATCACTGGTAATTGACAAGTGATGAGGAAAAAATGTTTAAGTCCTTGGGCCCCAGCACTGTCAGTCCCCTCTGTCCAACCAGTAACAGCCACAAACCGCAGCACCACTCACCGGGATCACCCACATGAACCTTTAGGGCAGGTTTTTGCCCACAGTGGTGGGGAGGAAGGACAGCAGATGTCTGCCAGTACTGGAGGTTCACCTAAGGAAACCTGTGCTGGTAGAAGAGAGTCCTGGCTTATGCTTATGCCCAAAATCAGACCTTTCTGACAGCATTACACAAGTTCTTGAATTATTTTTCCCCGACAATAAACAAGGGGACAGAGCAGGATAAATACGTTTCTTCGCCTTTGATTTCCAGATAGCAGCACTGCTGTTTCCCATTGGCCCCCAGGGGGTGAGCTCCCATTTTTTCAGGCACTTTTTGGTTTCTGGTTTTTTTTCTTATTCCCTACTGTAACAAGTATTTTTGAAGCCCCTACTTTCCCCTTACCTTCCCTGAAGACAGTGCCTTGGTATTCCTCTGTCCCTGACTGATCTGCAAAGCAGCTTTGCTATTGCTCACAGGTCTAATTATTCCTCCTCTCTCTGCAGCCCTCTGAAGACATGGTAACCTATGAGTCAGACCTCTACCGACAGCCCCATGACTATTACCAATATCTCAACAGTGATGGAGACAGTCATGGTGGTAAGTTAAAAAAAATATCTCTTTGGTGCATGCAACATCCTAGGATACTCAAGAAAGGAGTTTGAGGGCCTTCAGGAAAGGAAAAAGATATAGCAGAAATAGAAAAAGTACAGTGAAAGGCAACAAAAAGATTAGTGATATGGAGAGGCTTCCATAAATCATTCATGGCATAGAAAAATCAAATAGGGGTTTACTACTTGTTCTCTCTTGTGATACAAGAAATAAGGGACATACAATGAATTCAGTAGCAAGTATAAAGCAAACAAAAGGAAGTTATTTTTCATACAGCATGTATTTAACTTGTGGCACTCCACCATAATATGATATAGCGGCTGATAATTTAAACAGGCTCAAAGCATGATTGGACTAATTCATGCAAGACAGGTCCTTTAGTGATTAATAAACATCATGATTAGGGACATAGCCTCCACATAGCCTTCCTAGGACCCCGAAACTGTAAGGAAAGAGGGAAAGGGGAGAGATGAGTCTGGGTAGGCGAGTCTGGATAAATATTCTTTTCCTTGGCATCCATTCTCTGCCACTGTGATATACAGACTACTAGGCTAAATCGACCTGTAGTCTGACCCATTATGGCATATCTTGTGTTGTTATGAGCAAATATGTCACTATGATCTATGGAGTAAATGCATGTGCTTCTGAATTAATAATAATACTGATTTATTCAACACTATGACACTGATCCAGTCTAGCAGGTGTATCACAGAAGAGAAACCTCAAAGGCATGGAAATGATATGTAGAGCTTCTAGGAGCTGCAGAATTTTGCATCATATCACCTCTATCCTTCATTCTATTCACTGTCTTCTATCCATTTCTTAATCCAAATTGCTCTCCTGGTTTCAGAACTCCCTGGACCTGGATTTGTGTTATCCTAATTGTCTGACTTCACTTCAGTGTCTGCCACACTTGTCTTCAGCTTTGATTACTCAGGCCTCATACAGACATTCAGTGTCTCCTGAGAGTCACTGCTCTCCCAGGAGAAACCACAAGTGTACAGAAGTTCAGGATTTTTCTTCCAGAGTAAAAATGGCTGCCCCAGGAGAAAAATAATCTGGGAACAACCAGGGTTCAATCACTCCTGGGGACTTTCTCCTGAGAGAGTATCTGTACAATTTACCCATTTGTTCTTTCTATTTCAAGTCTGTTTCTCTGAGTTCTTGCTTGCCTTCAACCTCACATAATCCATTCTACCTTCTTGGGCTTTCCTGGCTGCTGCCCCTACTGAAACCTTCAGTATCTCTCCAGGACCCTGATAAACTTCTTCTCTTTCAATCTGGTTAAATGTGACTTTTCTTTTTACCTTACCAGTGATTGGATGTAAGTTGTTTTACTGTGAAACATGCATTAGGACAGTTTATTGTGTTAACTCACATGTGTTGAAGAGGAGGTATGTTCTGGTGCTTCCTACAGCTTGAAGGACCTCTTGTTTTTTTGGTGGATTTTATTCCAGGGAGTCCTATATTTTACAAATACCATTAAACCTGCGATTAAACCTGGGCTATGCTATGGTGTTTGCCTAAATATCTCATGAGTGTTAGAACCTACAAGAGCCAAAATCATACCCCTTTGATATTAATAATATTAATACAGGAAAAATGTTAGAATGCTAACTGAGCTGGTCCTTCATTATTATTGTTGGAAAGAAGTCACATAATTATTATTAATATAATAATATTATATTAATATTTATCCTTTTGGATAATATTCTTTTTTAAGTATTTTAAAGTGTTCTGGGATACTGGACTCAGCACTGAGTCAGGGGGACAGCACCAGCTATCAAATCACTCGCACCTGTTTCCAGAGCACAGCAGTCTGCCGGCACTGTGCTGGAACACTGGAGTCAGTACTGAGTCAGAAGGAAAAGCACCTCCTATTGTACCAATCATAGCACTTCCTGAAATTCTTGGGAGTTTCCCTGGAAGGCTGTCATTCACAGAATAATTAGTCTTCAACTATGTTTTTTATAAGAGAGCTAGCACACTGACAGCACAAGGTACTATGGCAACAAAAGATATTAAATAAGATAGCAAGTTTCTGCAGAAAGTTGCCTTGCACATTGGCAGACAAGGTTCCTTGGGTGAATCTGATATCTTTTATTAGACCAACCCAAATGGTTGGAGAATAGTTATTAAGCAAGCTTTCGGGTTCAAAAACCCTTCGTCAGGCTAAGGAAGTTTCAGCAGTTGGTGTGTGCTCTTCCTGGATGGAATGAAAAGTAAAGAAGGGTTTTTGAACCTGAAAGCTTGCTTAATAACTATTCTCCAACCATTTGGGTTGGTCTAATAAAAGATATCAGATTCACCCAAGGAACCTTGTCTGCCTATGTCCTTAGACCAACATGGCTACAACCTATAGCCTTGTACAATGAGCATTTAATTGAAAAAGACACTTACCTAAATTTGTACTTTAGGTTGTATTGACAGACCAGATGTGAAATTCCTTATTCTGGACTAAATAAGAGACTGAGCACTACAAAGTAATCCTGTTTTGATGCATCTACCATGTATAGCCTTTATCAAGTGACATTAGTCAAAATGGTCAAAAGGGTGTTAAGATCCCTGAGTTAGGTAATTAATATGTACAGATTCAGGTGATTTAATATACCTATGTTTGAAACTGTTGACTTTAACCTCTTGGTGGCTCCAGTTCCATATCCATGAAATGGGGACTTGTGCATCTCACAGTGGCTATAACAATTAAGTAGTTAATATTTTTAAAGCCCTATGTCAAAACATATGATATGATAATCCCCTGATGTCATAAACAATCAAGCAGTAGAGTCCCTATCATAAGCTTATCAAACTCCATCTTAAAATTAGCTTAATATTTTGCATCTGCTGTTCCTATGGAAGGCTGTTCCAAAACCTGTTCAGTTTCTGTTCAGATGTTTACAAGTCCTAAATCTCACCAGAATGCACAACACAACTTCCAATGGCTAAGGAGCGAATCGCTTAAGCACAGGTCTCCCAGGTCTCCAGTTTACATGGACATTTGTCTCTTGCTAACTTTTCTAAATGATTACAACTATTCATACACTCCTGCCCTAGAAGCAGGCCTTCAATTCAGTTCTACCAGTGCTTGGAGAGGAGTATAGCAACTAAGTATCCTGCCACATACATATCAGATAAATTATTATTTATCTGTATTAAGATAACACCCACAATATACCACAGACAACCCAAATATTACACCAAGCAACAAACACAGAGTAATAGGAAGGAATAAAGCATATGCACCAACTCTTTTTGCTGTTTGCTATAGATATCAACTAGCCTCAATTTGGCCATCTTCATATAAGCATCGAAGTAGTAGCAGGTCTTGAAGAAGGATGTCAAGGAGTAGAGGAAAGATGCCTTACAACCTGCTTCAAGGAAGTAAGGAGTGATGTGAAAGAATGTGCAAAGGTTTTGTGGTAGAAGTGGATAAACAGGGGGCTGGTGGCATTGAGGAAGGTGAAAGAGGTAGGGATTGATAAAAAACAAGAACAATGAGAACATGATATAAAACACAAACAAATAAGTAGGAAAGGGCAGAGTTGTGAAGGGCCAGTTAACTTTGAAGTATATTCCAAAAAGTATCATAAATCATCAATGATAGGCCTTTGCAGGATGTACTGGGGAAACTTCAAAGCTGGTGGTGGAGCTAAAGAAAAAAGTATTGCAAGCCCAACCAAAAAAATCTTATGACTAATGCTCTTGTGAGGCTGTCAAATAAATATTGCTAGACAAAATGAATACTCATTCTGACTTTGCTGACTAGAAACAGATAAAAAAAAGTCAAAATATATTGCTGTAATGATACACTATACCTCTGCCACTACTAGAAAAATAATGTTATTGTGAAGAACAAACTATAAGAGATTTATCGAGGTACCTGTATTGTTCCATACATTTTCTTGGTACTATGGTTTCTGCCATATTGCATATTTATTTAAGGAGATACTGAAGAGCATACAACAGAAACTCACTAACATACACCCATCACTGTGAGATTATAGCACCTAAGTCAATGTAATAAATGTAGCAAGTGAACAATTTTAAAATAAATCCAGCTATTGAATCACTAGATGTATTCTTTTTCTGAGGGGAGTTCATAGATGTATAAATGTGAGTATTGGCAACTATCACAGATATTATCACTGGTTTCATGATATTTGTTGGGGTGGGGGCAGGCTTTAAAGCCCCTGTTTCTGGAGGAATTTGATTGCATAAGAATTTTAGCTTTCATTTACAAAAAAAGGTTTCCAGCCTCTGTAGCATTGAAGAAAAGCTCTAAAGGCTCAAAACCCAACAGACAAGTAGAAAGAACCTAATAATGATTATTTATATTATATAGATATATATATAAAGACAGACAGAGAGAGACAACGAGCAATCTCATGATGTTTTGGGTCCTGACAAATACTTTCTGAATGCTTTGCATTGGCATAACTGGAATTATCAGTTTTGTTAATTAGTAATGTGAGAAGTAGTGAGATTCTGGTATCATTATAGATGAGCCACAATTATTTGGGAAACAGCATTTCACTGAGCAGGGAGTGTTTCTGTAGAGAACCAAAAAAGCAGCATCCCTCAGTATTCTCTCTTATTTCCTTTATGGGTTTTTGTTGGCTTGGTTCTTGAGAGAGACAAGATACAGTGACTCTTCTTTGCTGAGATACCTTTTTGTAGCTGACTTTACATCTTACTGGCGTGTCTTGCTAATACTCATCTAGAAAAGACAAGAGAATGTCATCTTCCCTGGAATAAAGGAGGAGCTATTCTTCAACTATTTTTCTCACACACAGACCAAAACCATCATCTCTATATTGGATATAAGCATGGAGCCTTTCAGTCCACCAGTGCAACCAAACCACCTTCTTTTTGTGTAATGAGAGGAGTTCAGGACTCATCACTTGTCCTTCCTTTAACCTTTCACTACATAAAAGACCAAAACAAATATGATCTCCATGTTTCTAAAACAGAGAATTTTTTTCACATCCTCTTTCACTTCAAATGAAATTTCTCAGAATTACTCCTGTGTGTAGACCTAACCTGACTTTTACTGACATTGAGCTTGAACCACAAAATAGACACTTTCATTTTAAGATTATTTTTCTCCTTTCTTCTCTCTTCTCTCTCCTTTTGTATCTTGGTGAACATTATAGAACAACTATACCTCATAACCAACTTCAGATCCACAAAAATATAAAAGAAAAGAGTCACAATTCAACTGATATATCTGTAGAGGCAGATATTTATATCTTCTGCTGTGCACTAGTGGCACCTGACATGGTGCAACATACCTATCAACACTAGAACACAATAATTGTAGGGCTATTTGGCAAGAGAAATAGTTTACCTTTTACTGTCAGTGAAATGTACTGAATTAAGGAACTTTTTTTTCCCCCTGAGGAGCAGAATTAAATTATAAATAGCTCACTGATAAATAATTCACTAAAAAGAAATACTGTCCTCCCTCCACAGTGATTGTTGAATATTTGGGTGCAGTGTTTCACATACACATATCATGCTACAGTAACATATCATGCTACACATATCATGCAGACACATATCATGCTACAGTAACATCTGACCCAGAGCAGTTTTGTTACATATCTGCAGTATGTGGCTACAGTGCTTAATTTCCAAAATGGTACATTATTCACATTACCATCATTGGTTTGAAATGCAGATACTGTTTACAGTACTTCAGCATCAGAGAATCCAAGTAAAAATGAAACCCATGTCTGAGTAGGCAAAGTATGACAATGATTAGCTGGGATAGGAATTAGAAATCTTGAAGTTAGTGTACCAGTCAAGGAAAACCTAAAGAGGAGAGTTCTGAAGGTAGCAGAAGCCTTGAAACAGGTTCCAACAAATAAAGAGACAGCCAGAGGCACAGAAGCAAGAATTGCTATGAAAAATTCAAGCCCATGTGCTGAGAGAATGGATAATCATCTTATTTAGGAGTGAAGATCATGAAGGCTGCATATGAATTGTAAATTCCTGTCTCTTCAGCAAGCTAGTCACTGATGGTGGGAAACTCCAGTGTAAAAAACTTGTGAGTGAACACATCTGGCATCTATCCTCTCTGTATTTCTTCCTGAGCTCTGTTTCCCACAACATTTCAACTGATCTCAATGACTGCAATGTGCCACATAGAGGTGATCTTTGGAAAACCCAGAACCAGTCCATTAATGACTTTTTAAAGATTAGTACTAGAATGGTGAAGCAGATCCGGAACAGTCTAATGAATGAACCAGCACAGAGTGCAGAACACTCCTGTAATGTGCTCACATTAGTTTATTACATAGAAAATAGGCTACTGCCTTTTGGACCAAATGGAAAATCCATGTGGCTTTTATGTCAGTTGCAGGTATGGAATTTTGCAGCAGATTAGCCTGGTGAAAGACTGAATCCCAGTGACTTAGTTTCACATGAAAAGAAAGAGGCCAGTCTCCTAGCCAGGTAAAGATGCCTCTGATAGTATAGTCCAAGGCCTCCTATAAGAACAGTCTAGGTAACCCCTAGGATCCACTCTCACACAACTTGCTATCTCATGGACTGGATTCTCAGGCTAGATGTAACCAAAAAACTTCAGGATCCTCCTGTATCCTACAGGGACCACTTCCTCTTTCAAGTGGAAGTAAAACTCTCTCACATTGCAAGGTATAAAGAAATCACCACCATGTTTCATCTCTGAAAATTTTAACTTTTGGACTCTGTCAAATTCCAGATGTTGTCTGTAGAAAATGCTAGCCAACAAAAAGGTCAAGGAGTACAATTAGTGAGTCAACCCATCTACTCCCTGGCTATTACTATAGATACCCATTCATCCCTTCCCAAACAGAGTGACACTGAATAGAAAAAGCAGAAAGGAAGAAATTTAAAGGTTGCTAGCAAAAAGTGGTCTGGTAGAGAGACTCAGACATAAAGAATTTCTACAGACCCTTACCACTCCTATGAGGAGACAAAGATAGATTATTTCTCCTTTCCTGTACTATTTGCTATATATTTTTTTTTTGTGAACGCACTGTCCTCAATGAAGACAATCCTGTTCAAAAATAGTGTCTGTATTTTCAAAGCCCTCTGTCAGATTGTCCTTTGTTACCCAAAAGATTGCCTCTCCCACAGTGACTACTATAGCTTCTATAGCAGCTATATTCTACTGCAACAACTATCAACCCATGACAAAGGCTTCTGATCATGGGTGACAGATTTTTCACTGGAACTCAGACCAGATTATTGAATGCATCTCTGTTAAAAAAAAACGACCTCACTGCAGTTACAACTAAATGCAAAACTTATCTTTTTAACTTAGCTTTGCCTCACTAAGTTTTTCACACAGCCACACCCAAATGTAGACACAAGTCACTCATATATACAAAAACAAGCAAAAATACCAAAAAACCTCCCCTGCAAATCCTAATCAAGCTATTTCTCTTACAAGCTGGGAAGGACGAGAGACATTTCTTCTTCTTTTTTTAAACTTGGGGTTTATTTGCCAATGCGAGACTTAAGTACCTGGATACCTACACTTGGATCAACATGCTCAGATCAGTACATCACATTATTAGAAAGATGTTGGCAGGCAGGAGGGCATTCAGAGAGGAGTAAACACATGATTAGGAGGCTAGAAATATTGAATAATATGGAAAGATTAAGAGCTAAATACATACAGTTGGGTTAAGTGATAATTAAGGACATGCTGGGATTGTGTGGGATGACTGATACATGACAGCGATCTGCAAGTATGTGAAGGGTGAGATGAAACTGATTTTGGTTCAGGACATTACAGAGAGTGAGAATTAAAAGAAAAGGTGTATGAAATAAAAGGAAAATTCAAGCTGAATGTCAGAAAGGGCTTTTGACAATGAGCTAAATAAGCCTATAGAATACATCTTCAGAGACATCATGGAAGATCCATCAATTCAAATGTTTAAAGACAAATTTAAAAACGGAGTGCGCACAATTTGTGCATAAAATTACTATAGCTTTAAGTGAAACTGAGCTCACAAAGCCTCCAACTTTCCCTTGTCAGATTCTGAATTGTGCACAGTTGATACAAAAATTCTGAAGATCACTGGATATTTGGGGACAGCATGAAGTGGACAATAATCTAAAATTGAGGAGTGTTTCAAATTTCATTTCAAAATTATATATAAAAGTGAAGGAGTTGCTTTAAGATGACTGAATCCCCCTCAAAGTATATCAGAGGTCAGAGAGAGGAGATTTTACCAACAGAAGGCTCAATGTAGATCTGAACTGAAAACAAGCAGGCCTGGTTATGAAGCTTGTCACTAGGAGGGGTGGGGAGCATAAGAAAACTAAGAGAGCAGATAAATGCTCAGGCTTCTTATTCCTCCATTAACACATGAATTGTTTTTATTTTCCTTAGAGCATTACTGGGACTATCATCCACATCACATGCACAGTGAATTTGAGAACTTTGGGGACAATCACTTCACAGAACTCCAGAGTGTACAGCCTCCACAGCTGCAGCAGTTGTACCGGCACATGGAGATTGAGCAGATGCACGTTCTAGACTCAGGACTCCCTGCCCAACATATTGGGCTGAACCACCAGGTATGATTTTCAACCTTTGCACAGAAGTCAGAATGGCATAAAGGGCAGAGAACAAGGGGCATCAGAGTGCATAGTGCTATGCCAAATGTATTAGTCAATTGTATGGTAAGAGTTACTGCTCATGAACATTTGATATAACACATTCCAGGGAGAGGATTAAACAGGGGTCCTGGTCTAAAGTTCTGAATAATGGCTGGCCACACACAACCAGTCATCAGCCCCCTGACTCACAGAATGCCTTAATTGCTGAAAGAGATACGCTTTTCAGACCTGTGTGCAAAAAGGTAATTGACTGCACAGAGGACTTGGGGATTTCAAAATCTGGTTTCATTACAATTCAGAACAAAGACCAACAACTTTGAAATTCTCTGCCGCAGGAGGGAATGGAATCCTGGGCTCAGGGGCCAGGAAGCCCTACTGTCCCTGACTCAGAGCCTGTCTGGCAGGCAAGCTCCTAAGGAGCCAGGCAGGACTACTTCAGAACGTTGTCTCCAAAAATGTTTTAATTTAAATGATATTGCAAATTCTTCTTTTTTTTTTTAAGTTTCTTTGGAATTTTTTAACCAGCTCTGGTGATTTTACAAGGGGATAACCCATAGTGTTTCCAAAGGGAGACAGATTCCAAGTAATTTTTCTGCATTGAAACAACAGAGGTCAGAGCACCTAGGTTTTTTACCTTGTAAGTAGAAAGGACACAAAATATTGTGCTTTTTCTGTACTAGGATTTTATACTGAGAGCACTAAGTCACTTAAACACAACCACTTTCTGCAGTGAAAAGCAAAGGACCTGGGTCTAATGAACACTAGGCATGTCTGAATCCATAAGGAGTTCCCTTATGTTGCAGAGCAGCCAGCTAAAGGGGACTAGCAGTTGAAGATTAAAACATAGGTCCCCAGGAACTTGTCCAAGCTTATTATTGAGAATAATGAGAACTGCATGATTTGAGAATAAGGAGTTTCCTAGGGGCAGACAGTATCCAAATTGTATACAAAATACATGAAAGGCAGCAAAATCAAAGGTCAGAAAGGGAGCTTCTTACTGGCCACAATGATATCATAGTTGAGATTTTGCTTGCACACAGGTTCGCTATTTTGGCCATCTCTATTCAAAGTAAACAGGATACATATGTATAGCTATAGATATATATACCTATAGATATATAGGTATATATTTCTGATTAAAAAAAAGGCATACTAGAAAATATCCTGAATTGGGGTGGCTAATTACTATACCAGCAGAAAAATTATCTATTGCAAAGCCCCCTAAATTTGAGATCTCAATAAAGTTTCAACAGTATGGAAAAATACAGAACCTCCAGTACAGGTGCAAATAGAAAATCAGGCACAGACAAAGAGACTGGCAAAAAGTGCCTCCTAGGAAACCAGCCTCTGGTAAAATTTCAAGCTGTACAGGTTCCAGTTCTCAGACAAGCTGCCGCAGCAGAGTGACTGGATCCAAGTCAAGACTGAGAATTAGAATGGAACCTGGCCAGTTTCCTAAACAGCACCAGAGAACAGCAGAGGTGAATTATGTTCATCCCACTGTTTTGTTCTACTCAACCATCACCACAGATTTCAGGACAAAAGGCATATGACTAATTCTATTCTGTCCAAGTCGTCTCCAAAACATTATCTGGGCTGTAACTGTAACCTCCTGGTCAATGCATCTCATGGGTCTACCATTATACAAAGTTGCAGAGAATGTGAAGTGTTCGGCCCATATCACCGCCTCTAGGTTGGAGTTTTAGCTGTTTCACTCAAGTTGTAGCTGCTCATGCAGTTAGTATTGGAGAGAGTGGGTTCAATTCCTGGTGCAGGAGCTAACAGAATAGGCATCACAAAAACCAGTTATTCCAAAACATTTTCAGGGAAACAGAAGCAGGAGACATTTTTGTCCTTATACTGAATGTGCCTGTTACCACATCCATTGTTGTCATGTAAGTTTGCCCCTAATTTTTATAGCTATCATGTCATTCTCCAATTTGAGATCTAAGTTGTTCTTGGGCAAGTCTTTTTGAATAAATCTTTCCAGGTTGCTCATAACAGTTCTTAACAGACAGTATGTGAAGAAAAAGACAGGCTGCTTAAGAAGAGAAGGAAAGAATGCACAGGGGACTTGTGAAGAGGAGTGGACAAAGGAAAATGACAAATGGAGAACAGTAGCTCCAAGGTAGCAGCAGTATGTGGAAAGTAGCCAGCAGTTTCTAAAGTCTTCCCCTCTCCATGATTGCATTAATAGGTCTCTGAAAACACCCCAGCAAGAACATTGTGACTTATTGCATAATATCTTCAGGACATTGGACATATCACACATACTGAATTTCACACATTGGTGCAATCACTGTTACCAAAAATGTAGCAGAAATGGAAATCTATGTAGCATCAGGACAGCTCACCCAACCCCCTGAAGCACTGTGTGCACGTCCCTCATACCTTTCCACTGGAGGCACCGTACTCTTCCCCCTCCCTCCTCCACAGCACTATCTCACTCCCCTCTCCCCACTCTTCCTGCAGGCATCATTTTCTTTTCTCTGTTCTGCCTACCCTGAGCTTCTGTAATCTCTCTCTCTCCAGAGGGACCATTTGTCTGCTGTAAGTGGCAGCAGTCCACTCCCAGTTCCCTCCCACCATCTTTCTCTTTTTTCCTACCCCTGAGGCTGCAGCTTGTTTAACTGTAAAATGCTAAAGGTGACTCTGTGGTGAGGGCTGGAGTTTCACTCTTGGGGATCTGACAGGAAACTTACACACACTCTTACCCAATCCTGGCCCTTCCTGCCATGCTCGTCTACAGCCAATCTGCCGACTCATTAACCGCCAGCTGCTGCACCCTTCAACTAACCACTTGCACACAACTTATTGGGACATTTCAGGCTCATGTAAGACTCATCAGAAAAGGATCAGGCGTTCAATGTTGGGTGGGTGCTGTGAATCACAAACTGACCATCCATCCCCTATCCAATGCCTATGACTGGGGTAATGGTGTCACACGCAGGACACTATCTTCCATGCATGCTGGAGGGAAGGAGGAGTGTCTTATCTCTCTGTCTCTAGAGCTACCAGTTTAGAATATTTCACCTGTACCATATTTGAACTGGTGGGAGTTCTTATAGAAAGGAGGCTGTGAGTTCCTTACTTTTCCCTACTTTTAGCCATACTTAGATTCCTATAGCAATGTCCTTCCATTGGTGGCACAGAACCAAACTATAGCTTCCCTTATTGTTAACCATTTTCATGATCTTTTATATCTCCCCTGCCTGACTTCCATGTGATTCATCCAGAGTAATGTGATATAACACAATGCCTTGTTATCCCAAAAGGAAAAGGAAAAGGGTCCAGATTTTTTCCTGCACAGAGATCTGCTTAGCACAGGAAGTAGGGGTAGCCATCAAAGAGTTGTTTTCAGCTGTCTCCTTCCCAAGCTGTATCTGCTCCAGCACTGTTGTGCATTAACTCATACCAGATGGTTATGATCCCTAAGGCACCAGATGCCAAATGAGCAGTGGCAGAAATAAATTCTACCCTGTTCCTGACCAGGCACCATGTAATTCAAGGACATCCTCAAGGCCAACTTGAAAAAATTCAACATCAACATCAACTCATGGGAAACTATCACCTAGGATCATCCCAAATAGGGGAAGAATCTGTTGCAAGGATCTCAGTACTATGAAACCTCATGACAACAGGAGATGGAAAAGCAGGAGTGGCAGAACCAGTGTGTTGTGGACCGAATCAAGAATCTGGAGCCATGCACCCGTGCCCAAATTGCAACAGAGTCTGTCAATCCTGGATCGGTCTCATCAGACACCTTCAGACCCACAGATAAGACACTCATGGAAGACAATCATCCTTGACTGCGAGGACTGACAATGAAGATGATCACATGGATTAGAAAGGGAGGATTACTTAAGAAGTGAGAAAACTGAGACACTAAGGACTGACATGATTTATATAGGTTTAGAGAACGTAGACTAAAATCTGCTTCTCTCTCCACTGATCTGCTTTATTCCACCCTCTCTTAGAGGGGCTAGATTATAGAAGACGTTTTTTACAGGAGAATATCAGATAAATAAATTTAAACTGCTTCATATTTATTTTGAATTGCAGCAATTAAGTCTCTGGGTATTGTCCTAAATAATCTCATATACCTGTCACTTTTCCTCACTTTCTCTGTGACTCTCCCCACCACCCCTACCCTTTTCACTTGGTGCCCCTCTCTTTGTCTGTCTCCTTCCACCATTCTTCCCCTCTCCTACAGGTCTCCTATTTGCCCCGGATGTGCCTACAGTACCCATCTCCGCACCAGCCCAGTTCTGATGAGGAAGACATGGAGAGGCAGAGCCCACCATTGGAGGTATCAGATGGGGAGACTGATGGTGTAGACCCAACTCCTGGGATTATGCATGGAGAACCAGGTTAGTAAACAAAAAGAGGCGACATGTGCAGATCGCATTGATATGGTGTTGATGGATGATGCTGTAAAAACAACTAAGCTTGTAAGCTTTAGTTTCCACTGTCTCCTCACCTACTTCCTGTCTGCTGAATGTTTAATGGCCAAATCCTTATCTATCCCTGATTTCATATCTATGTACTCTTGCCTTTTTCCTCTGCTCTGCTTGCTAATTCAGCATCTTCCCATTTACAATTTGGCTCTTTCCTCTGCTGTTTAATCCTCTGATTCCACTGTACCAGCCTTCTGGAACAGTTTCCCTCTGTGGCGTAACTAGGGAGCAGCAGGGGAACTGCCCCAGGCACCAATTGGAGTGGGAGGGAAGGGTGAGAAAAAGAAGCTGCTGCTGGTAGCCACACATTTGTAATCATGAACTGGAAGCTGATACTTCCCCCTTGCCCCTGGTGCCCAGACACGTCTCTACACTACTGGTTTCCATTCCCCACTGCCCTCCAGCTTACTGCACCCCATTCCTTTCTAGAAGGCAGCTCTGAATTAATCTCTTCTCTGGATGTTACAATGTGTGCATCTTGACCAGTCACTCAGCCCTGCTTCTTCTCCTGAATCCAGCACACCTGTCCCAGAGCTTGATCCAAAGCCCTGTAAAGTTGTTGGGACCACAGCAGGCCTTGGATCAGAGCCTTAATTCCATATTCCTACCTTTTCTAACTCGATATTAAATTACTAGATAACTCACAGCATTAATATAGTGCACTATATATTAGAAGTTTTGCACAGGCATTAGTCTTCACAACATGTCTGGTAGGTAGGCAGATGGGAAAACTAAGGCCCTGATTTGCAGAGTGGCCAAGCATTCACAGCTTTACTTGAAGTCAGTACAAATCTGTATGCTCAGCACCTCTGTGAATCAGGCTTTAAATCACTTGCCTGAAGCTACAAAGCAAATTAGTGTCAGAGCTGAAATTAGATCTCTGGAATTCCTAGCTCTGTTTTCTGCTTAGAGCAACAGATCACCCAACACTGCACTGGGATTCACTACTGTAGCTGCTGCACATTGAAGAATATATGTGATTGACATGTTAGCTAGAGAAAAAAGGAAAAATGACACAAACTGTACAAACTCCCCCATTCCATACAACACAACTGAAGCTTCGAAGTATTCTCCTCACCACCTCTCTTTGTCTCTCACACAGGCAGCAAGAAAAAAATCCGTCTGTACCAGTTCCTTCTGGACCTTCTTCGCAATGGAGACATGAAAGACAGCATCTGGTGGGTAGACAAGGAAAAAGGCACTTTCCAGTTCTCCTCCAAACACAAAGAGGCACTGGCAAACCGCTGGGGCATCCAGAAGGGTAACCGCAAGAAAATGACCTACCAGAAAATGGCACGGGCTTTGAGAAACTATGGCAAGACAGGGGAAGTCAAGAAGGTCAAGAAGAAGCTGACCTACCAATTTAGTGGAGAGGTGATGGGAAGGGCAAGCAGCGATAGGAAGCATTATCCTCACTGAGTACAGTTCTTGGGAGCCTATGCAAGAAAAATATATTACGACCTCCTGGCTGGATGCCAGTAGAGGAGATGGACGCATCTTTCTCTTTTCTTCCTGTGCCCACCTCTCTACCTTTACAGGGCCCTTAACATCCGATGTTTTGGTACGAATTCCCTTCTTCAGCATCTGAGAATCCTAAAGATAACAGAATTCTTTGCTTCCATCCAACAAGCTGGACAGAGTTGGGAAATTTAAGAAATGTATAAATATATTATTGTCAGAAAATATTTGTTCAATTGTGTTGTAATTAAAAAATACAACTTGTTGAAGTTTTGCCTTCAAAGGTGATGCCGTGTCACCCTGTGACACTGCATTAGCTTACAGCTTTGAAACTAGCATTAATACAGGCTCTGCTGCAGCTCTCAACAGCTAGAGAGACGTTTGCAGATCTTGGAATGATACTTATTATGTTTAAATAGTAATAACTTGTATATATTTAATAAAATTTGCTATAATGAAGCCTTGGTACTTGTATGATAGACAGCTGTTTCCCAGACTAGTCTCAATTGTGTTCCTGCAGTAACAACTCAAAAGTGTGGTCACTTGCATAGAGAAGAGGCTACTAGATCTTATCCATACTTCATCTCTCTCCCAGCCTCTCACTACCCTGGAAATAAATAAAATATCGAATAAAATAGGGAAAGCACATCACTACAAAGGAGTCTACAGCACTCCAAGTCACCAAGAACTTAAACAAAACATGAATTGGGATACTTGGAGCAGTTTCAAAAGGGGAGTGGAAGCTGCAGCAGCAGTTATGCTGTAACAGTAACAATTAGGTGTACACAAGCCTGTACCAGTGTAGAAAAAACACTCCAAGTCTAACTACTTCATCCCAAGTTAAGGGTGAAGCTATTTAGCTCACTTGTATTGTTACAGATGCATGCATATATAGTAATGAGTGTAACATGGACTGTGTGCACTCCCAAGCTGCAGCATGCTCCCTCCTTTTTTGAAAGCATACGGAGTTCGTGTTTGTCCGTGCTCAAAGATTGGAAGTCAATACTGCCCTGCAGCTTGTGCCATCATTTTACACCCATGTAAGAGAGTACAAAGGGGATGTAAATACTACCAATTCAGTATCTACCACGCATTCATGCTATTTTATACCCCCACCTTACTTTAAACATAGCTGATCTGACAACCCATGTCCTTAACTGTAGCCTCTATGCACTTCTGTGAAGCAAACAATATCTTATAACCACTTTGCACAGATACATTACTGCAGAAAGTGCAAAGTAACGGAGATTTAGGCCCTAAGGATCAGTAGCAATGCAAAGTACGGATGAACTTTACTGAATTCCATAAACAAGAATCCAAGTGGTGTTAGGAGAATGTTAAAAATTCTTGACTATGGGTAAGTATTAAAAAATCAGAAATCATTACAGTAGCATATGGATAGTCATAGACTATCAAAACAATAAAATGTTTACCACATCCTGAAATACACATAGGAAGTATCATGACAAGCAGTCCATGAGTTATATAGAAGATGCAAGATTCTATTCAAGCTCATGATACAGATTCCATAAGACTATCTAGAAAATATAATAAAAATTGTTAAGGCAGCTGGAACAGAGAGTAAATGACATAATACAGGAGACCAAAGCAGATCAGACAGGCAGCTTTGAATCAAAGAGTTTGATTTTTATTTAAGAATACTAAACAGTGGCACAGGTCACTAAACATGCTGATTAAAGTATGTAGGACAGTAAATAACTTTATGTCTTATATCTTGATGCTGCAGGTGCTCAGCACCTTTACCTCCCATTGAAACCAAGAGAAGTTCAATGTTCAGTACCTTGTATTTGCCCTTCAAACTACAGCCTAACTTTAGGCACTTATCTACAATAATAGTTTCATTGGGGAAGTAGAGCCTGATGTCATCACTGGGCCTGCAGTAATTCCCTAGAATCAGACAGGAAGAAGTAGTTTTAACAGAATGCATAATGATATTTTCTGCCAAGTATGTAATTTTTCCAGTGGCCTGGTTCAAAAATATGGTAAATACATTTACTAATGCTGGAAATAACAGAGAATCACATCTGGCTAAGGACTTTAAAACTTTCTCTATTGAAGACAGCAGTTATTCCAAGGAAATTGTTTTTTTCTTTTAATTTTAACAAAAAGCTTTCAGCTTGATTTTAGATCACTGCTTTTTGGAGACCCTTCACAGCATTGTTAAAACTGATATAAGAAAAGCCTTTTCAATTTAGAAATAAATCCATGATCTTTGTGTACTATATAATCAATCCGTATTCAAAACTGACCCCTCTCAAACTCCAGCTGCCTCAACCTGGAAGGCTTTAGGCTTTAAGGCAAAATTGTTAACTCGGTCAGTTCTAAGACAGTTCTCAATGGAAGGCCAGAAAAACTGCTACCACTGTCATGGTAACTTGGTAGAAGTCTTGGTAACTTCTTCAGTGTAGAACTTGAACCCGAGACATTGTTATCTGTCCTGACTTTTTCCTTGGCTGCAAGCTTACCAAGAACAAGATATTTTCCCTCTCTAACACAGCTTCACAGGAAAATAGAGGATTAACTCCTTTCTTCATGAAGCATATCTTTATTCCAAACACAGCTTGCAAAGCATATTTGATCTTGAAAATACTGACTACTTATGGTACTGTAGTTTGATGGACAAGGATCATTTCCTTCTCCAGGAAAACTATGATGGTTCCAATGTAGCTCATCTGTTGTGAAAGCAAATATGCCAGAACAAATGGCAGTCCTTAAATCTGGTATTTCAAGCTCACCAGGGTGTGCTCTCAGATCTCAAGAGTTCTCCCTTGCTTTCCTATTTTTCTAAGACATAGTTGAGAAAGAAAACAATAAATAACAATAGAACAAGAACTCATATAAAATAAAACTTGGAATTTGGGGAAAAAAACAGATGAGCAACATGATGCCTAATATCCAGGGGCATTTGCAGATAGCACATTAAAGCGGGTTAAATGCCCTTTTGCACCGCTTTAATGGGATTGCTGTTCACACGAGTTTGCAAATTCAGTGGCATATTGCACATTAATTCCAGCCACTGTAGCAAATTTGGCAGCATAATACATCTTAAATGACTTTGGGGCACAGCAAATGACTTTGGGGAGCAGCAAACTAAAACACCTCCAAGGAATTTTAGTTTGCTACCTTGCAGCCGCGGAGGGAATCACTGGGCTCTGTGAGTCTCAGAAGCTGTGCAGACAGCCCCAGCAGGCATCCCAGCAGCAGCCCAGGAAGGCAGGCTGCACTGAAGGAAAAAAAAAAAGCAGCGAGCCTGATCTTTTTTTTTCTTCCCTGGAGCCTGCTTGCCTGAGTTGTGCAGGGGCCCGGTGCTTCCCTCCACGGCTGCGGTGCCCTGTGGAACTGCCTGAGCCGGGTGCCCGTGGGCGGGTGCTGCTTCCGGGGGGCCACCGCTGCCGGGTAGG